TGAGATCAGCCAGGGTGGCTCCCCCTTGGGGCTCCCAAATGATGCCCCTGGCAGCGTTTTGTGACCATGAGGCTCTCAAGAGAGACATGTTGGGGAGGCCAAACGGCAATTTTAGCTGAGACGTCCCACCAAAATCGGCGCGAACGGGCTCGTGAGATCAGCCAGGGTGGCTCCCCCTTGGGGCTCCCAAATGATGCCCCTGGCAGCGTTTTGTGACCATGAGGCTCTCAAGAGAGACATGTTGGGGAGGCCAAACGGCAATTTTAGCTGAGACGTCCCACCAAAATCGGCGCGAACGGGCTCGTGATATCAGCCAGGGTGGCTCCCCCTTGGGGCTCCCAAATGATGCCCCTGGCAGCGTTTTGTGATCATGAGAGAGTGTGAGTGAAATAGCTTATCTTGTCTTAGCTTATATTATATCAACTCATCGTATCGCATCATATCTTGTCTTATCTTATTACTCCATAGGCTGTCTTATCTTATATATTATCCTACCTTGTCATATATCTTATCTTACCTTATCATATATTGTGCTATATTATCTTATATTGTAGTATCTTATATTGTCTTGTCTTATCTGGTGATTATCATTGGGAGGAGGGAGGCGCGAGCGGGAGGAAGGAGGAGCAGTGGGAGGCGTCAGAGTAATAACAAGAACCCCAATCCTTAGGATATGGGGAAAAACTGTTCGCGCTTGTCGGCTGCACACAATGATCAACAAAGATACCCCTACCCTTCGGGAGGGGACCTGCGTTAGGAGGGCCAAAACCGTTAGGGATAGGGGTCTTTCTGCAGATGTATCAGGCCAAACCGCCCAGATTCAGAATCCCTGATGCGAACGAACACGGGGACCTAAGTGAGGCCACGTCTTCATCGTGCTATCAGGGTTAGGGGTCCTTGTGTTCTCGACGACGCAAGGCTGAACCCCAGGGAAGACCCTGAGCTCATGGCGCCGCAGCTTCCGCAGCAGCCGCGGGGCGCCCCCGCCCGGGCACATGGGGGGGCCCGGGCCCTCACGCATCGAGGCCGGCCGGGAGAGGCGCCGCGGGAAGATGGGGTCCAGGGCTCTGTTGGCGGCGGGCAAGAGGGGGTCGTGAGGATGGGACGCAGAAGGACATACCAGTACGACGCGTCCTTCTCGGAGGCGTGCGCCCGACCCGGACACACAGTGCACAAACCTTATAGCAGAGCGTTTCCCGAGCGGTACGGTCAGAAAGCGCCCGCCACGACGCAAATGATTACTATAGGATGTCTCGGTGCGCGCGTCGCCTCTGTGGGGGGGGGGGGGGGGGGCGACGCACACTCAGTATCAGTATGTTGTGGTGACGCCGAGAGAAGGGGCGGGCCTTCTCAGAAGGCTCGCAAGTCCCCCGGCCTTCTGCGAAGCTTCCTGACCAGTCGACCAGTCTCGAAGGCGCAGAGGACTTCTCAAGAGGCCGGAGCGCTTCCGAGAAGTCCCGCCGCCCTCTGAGAGGGCCTTCTCCTTCTCGCTTGCCGCCGATTCTCGCCGCCGATTCTCGCCGCCGATTCTCGCGGTGCTGATTTCTGCTTCGCGACGTCGGATCTGAGGGCAGTGGCCTTTGGCGCGCGGCTTTCGTGAGGGGTGGGGGGGTTGCGGGGGCCGAGCACAAGCGCGCAGGCCGCTGCCATGGCACCGAGTTCCGCGATCGGGGGGCCCCGGACAGCCTGCACCAAAGGCCACTCCTGCGAGGCGGGGATTTATCCACATCCACCGCCTGGGAACCGACGCCCTGGTGCCCCAGCGGGCGGTGGATATGGATATGTTTTGGCCCCCAGGGGGGGCCGAATACATACATACATACATACATACATACATACATACATACATACATACATACATACATACATACATACATACATACATACATACATACATACGTACGTACATACATACATACATACATACATACATACATACATACATACATACATACATACATACATACATACATACATACATACATACATACATACATACATACATACATACATACATACATACATACATACATACATACATACATACATACATACATACATACATACATACATACATACATACATACATACATACATACATACATACATACATGCATGCATGCATGCATGCATACATACATACATATATATATATATATACATGTATAACTATATATATGTACATGTATATATATATATACATATCCATCTCCATATCCATCTCCATATCCATATCCATATCCATATCCACATCCACCGCCTGCCGAGGTCCCCGAAAACTGATGCTCCAGGCGGTGGTCGAGGCTCGACCACTCCGGCGCAGGGTCGATCTGAGGTGCAGCAGCCCCCTCCCCCCCTCCCCCTGGTCCACCGCGCACTTGCTCAGGCAGAGGAAGTTCTCCGGCTTGAGGTCGCGATGGCACACGCCGGTCTTGTGCATACCCGCCAGGCCGGCCCCTGGCACAGCCTCCCATGTCTTCGTGGGTCTCCTCCTCATGAGTCGACGGATGCAGATGCGAAGCTGCTTCGCCGACGCGGCGATCGCCCGCTGGAAAGGTGAGGGTCCCAAGGGCCTGCAGCTTGAGAGCATTGCCTCGAGTCTGACCGGACACGGCATCGCCACTTCTGGATGGATGCAGTTGGCAGTGGGCATTGCTTCATTACTGGCCAGTTGAGCGCTTCAGAGGCCCGCAGAGGTCAAAAAAGCTGGCAGCTGCACACGTGTAGCGATCATACCATGATTCGATCAAAAAATCTGCATGACGTTGAGAAGGTGTTATCCTCATTTTCTGGTAAACGGTTCAAAAGAGATGCGACTGGAGCCGAGACCTCAGTTCTGAGGAACTGGCCACTGCCCGTGTAGCTGCTGACTGCTTGATATTTGATGCCAAATGACATACAGAACTCGCCGGCAAAAACCCGATGTCGAAACAGACCAGAACCACACTTCTTCTGCACTGGTGTGGCATTCTACATTGAAGAAAGCTTGGATACGTGAACGTATGAAGACCTCGCCAGATTTTGAAACCAGAACGCCCTAGGAGGGCCCCAAGCGAGAGCTCGACATTGAAAACGAAACGGCCCTCCCTGCAGCTCTGAGGCTGCGCCGGGCGAAATCAAAATGTTGAACATGGGCCCCAGTCCATCCGCCTTGCTATTGGGAGCTCCTGCGCGAATGCGCGCAAACGACTTGTGCCCTGTGCGTGAACTGATCACAGCGCGCCAGTCGGTGCGTTGGCCAACGATGGTCGGTGGATGTCCTCGAACATGCGGCACGGCGGCCCATTTCGTGCAGCTGTTGGTAAACTGTTTACCAAGAAGAACACGCGAGGCGCCAAGACGAGAAGCAGACGTGAACGATGACGATGACGATGACGGTGCCCCAACCTGCACGATGACGATGGCGCCACCCTTGCCAGGCCGTCCCCCACGCCCCAGCCGAGGAGGGGACTCGGGGGCGGAATGAGCGGCCTCCTCCTCCTCCTCCTCCACCACCTCCTCCTCCTCCTCCTCCTCCTCCTCCTCCTCCTCCTCCTCCTCCTCCTCCTCCTCCTCCTCCTCCTCCTCCTCCCCCTACCTCCCTCCCTCCTTCTTCCTCTTCCTTGTCCTCCTTCGCCTCTTTCGCCTCATCCTCCTCCTACTCCCTCCCACCCCCTCCGTAGCCATTGCGGCTCAAGCCAGCATCATGTGGCACGGTCTCCCGCGGGGCCCCCGCGGCGGCGCTTTCTCGGAGGGCCAAGGATCTGCCGCCAGCTCGTGGCCGCGGCGGTCGCGGCGGCATGCCGGTGCGTCCTGGCGCAGCCGCGTCCTGCAAAGGTGGACGTCGGGCGGTGCGCCTCGCCGCCACTGCGCCGGCAAGGATGGAGCGCATCCGCTGACGTTGGCCGAGGGGCCAGGCGCGCTCGAGGCGCAATGTCGGCGCCCATTGGCGACTTGGCTGACTACCCACCAGACCACCCCAACCCAACCCGAGGACCCGAATTTCGGGTTGGGGGGGTAAGGGTTCCACGTGTGCTTTTGTTTTTTCGATGCTTCCCGACCCCCCCTGGAAATCGACTGGAAATTTGAGCTTTCGGGTTGGGCTGGGGTGGCTTGGTGGGTGGTGATTGGCGAGGCCGCCATCCCGCTCAAGGAGCTGGAAGCGGCCCTGGAGCGAGGCGCGCGGCAGGGGCCCGAGGCCGCGGCGATCGTGAAGGGCGAGGTGGGCAACAGCGAGATGCTCGCGGACCGGACGAGGGTCCACCAGAACGAGCGGTTCGAGCTGGTGAGCTCAAGCGACAGCGAGGCTGGCGCCGACGGCATCGGACACAGACTCGACGACCTGAAGGCGATGCGCTACGAGATGAGGGCCGGCCTCCTCAACGCGCGGGTGGAATTCGGCGCGAAGATCGTGGAAGTGCCCTCCGTGCAGCAAGAGGAGGTCCCGCAAGTGGACTGCGCGAGCTCCGCGGGCCCAAAGGCGGCCCCCAAGGGCGAGCAACCCACCGAGCTGCCGCTCGAGAAGCCCGTGGACGTCTCGCAGGTAAAGATCATCGAGGTGCCGCGCGATAAGCCAGTGGAGGTCCCGCAGGGAGAGCACGAGACGAGGCTTCGAGAGATCGCGAAGACAGACTTAGCAGAGAAAATCATCGAGGGGTCTGTCTAGGAGCCTGTGGACGTCCCACAGGTGAAGTACGACACGCAACGCAATGAGATCGCGAACACTGGCTTCGCCGAACAGAGTATCGAGGTGCCTTTCGAGCAGACGGTGGACGTCCCGCAGGTACAGATCATCGCGGGGGCCTTTCGAGAAGCCTGTGGACATCTCGCAGGAAAAGCCCGACGCGAGGTTCAAGCAGATCGCGAAGACGGACCTCGTTGAGCAGATCAACGAGGTGCCCTTCGGAAAGACTGTGGACGCCCCGCAGGTAAAGAATATGAAGTTCAACGATAGCATTAGGTCGGGCATGTACCCCTACAGGCGGATCTGAGCGAAAAATGACCCCAAACATGCCCCAAAAATACCAAAACAATTGTCGAAGAATCGTCCCCATACTATTCTTTGACTATTTAAACATGTTCCCCCGAGGGACAGGCCCGACTTAACGATAGCATGGAGAGGGCGCACGGCGAGCAAACTGCACAGACGTGCTCTGCCGAGAAGCTTGCCGACGTGCCGCTCGGGAGGCGCGTGGAAGTCCTGGCAGGTGAAGTACGACGCGAAGTGCAACGAGAGCGCGAAGACGGATCTCGCTGAGCGGTTCAGCTTGATGCTTCTGCCTATGCCCTTCTTCCCGAGCCTCGGGATGAGCGGCACCGAGGCCGACAGCGAGATGGCGATGATGGGGTCGGCATTTGGATGGACACTAGACGCTGGAGGCAAAGCTGCATTTGAAAGAAAACGCGACGGAGGCGATGCTCGGTCTCGCGGGCTACTGCTTAACCGTTGACAGAATCCTACAGGAGGCGCAGCTGCGGGATTTGCTCGAGTGCGGGGACGAGGTGAAGGTCGGGAAGGCCGTGCAAGACACCCTCCACTGGCTGGACCAGCCTGACCGTGCGGGCCTTGTCGAGCTCGAGGGCAAGGAGCCGGAGCCGGAGGGCATCACCAACCCCACCCTGATGAAAGCCACGTAGAACGACAAGCTGGCGCAGAAAGACGAGAGCTCGAGGACTGCGACCTCGGGCACATGCTGGCCTTCCCGAGAGGCCAAGTCGGACGTCGGACGTCGCGTCCTCATACTCTGAGCCGAGTGTGCCGCCCGCTCCTTGCATGATGATGATACTGATGATTATGATTACGACGATGATGATGATGATGTTGATGATGATGATACTGCTGATGACTATGATTATAAGTATGATTATGATTACGATGATGATGATGATGATGATGATGATGATGCCGAGGAGGGTCGCCGTGGCCATAGCACTCCTTTTTAGAAAAGCTGACGGTGGCGATGGCAAGAAGCGATGCAACACGACCACGGGTGGCGACAGACACTGCAGGCAGCACAGACGTCGAATTGCGAAATTAAACCCTCAAGCGAGGGCGGGCGGGCTTGGGAGCTTGAGCACAAACATTTACAGATGTGCGGCCACTGAAACCCTGTCCCAGCACACTCCACATTAAAGTGGTTACCATGCCGAAGAGGGTCGCCGTGGCCATAGCGTTCCTTTTTAGAAAAGCTGACGGTGGCGATGGCAAGAAGCGATGCAACACGACCACGAGTGGCGACAGACACTGCAGGCAGCACAGACGTACACTGTGTAACACTACATCATGGCCGCAGGCCGCAGAGACCATACATCCTGGACCGAGACAGATCATCTATAGTTTCAACGAGGGAGTCGGCCACCAGCTCTGCGGCTCGGACGGGGAAGCGCGCAGCTTTGTAGCGGCAAGCCACGCCTCTGGCCGCGCGGCCGTCGAATTGTAAATGAGGTCGCCCCGATCCCGGGAACACTTTGCCACGCAGACTGCAACAAGCGTTGAGGCGCTGGAGCTGAGGACAGCGCCAGCAGAACACTCGCGTGGCCGAGCGGGCTGCCGCTCCGAATTGGCAGAGGCCCAGGTCAACTTGACGAAACGACGGGAGACTGGCCAGAGTCCGAAACTCTGGCACCGCAAACATGAAGCTGGTACGCGGGTGCTCAAGACAGACAGGTACAGATAAATCGATACAGGCACGAATGACTCTGAGGGCTGCGCGCATCTCGACATTGTCGGTTACAAACGTCGGGAGCTGCAACCGCAGGCTAGCAGGCGCAGCCCGACCCCAAGGGTCAGACACAGTGCGGACAGGCGGGGGCCCCGACTCGATCCAGGACCCGCGCGGCAAAGAGATCCAGCAAGCACAGACCGCCGATGAACGAATCCACCCAAGGAGTCGATCGACGACGCCCTGCTCGCACAGCGCAAGGCCCACATTTCGACCTGCACCAAGCGAGGGGCAATCCAAACCGCGACGGCGCAAAGCTTTGCAAATGGGGGCCCCGCGGGGCCCAACCACTGGCAAAACTAGCCGACGGCGACGGGACGCCCACACAAAGGCACGTCGGAAGGCAGCACGCATGCGCGAACCTACTTTCTGGACAGAACGGGCGCCCGCTTCGCGCCCCGCGGCAGGGCGGGCGCCGGCTGGAGCGGCACTGGCAGCGGGACGCTGCCCTTCACGAACCCGACCTCGATCAGCTCCGAGAGCCTTGCGAACACCTGCTCGCCGAACTCGGCGATCCGAGGCGCGAGGTCCCTGATCCGCTGCCGCATGCGAGTCCTCTTGCCGTACCCCGTCAACGATTTGTCTGACATCCGTCCCCCCCTCTCCCTGGCCTCCGCTATCGTACGAGCACCCAAGAGCCAGTCGTGAGGCCCCCCCATGACGGAGGGTGTACAAAGGCGGAGACTCCCTCTGCAGCCCCCGCTCGTGCAAGGCCTGGCGGAACATCGCGCGCTCGACGGCGGGCCTGAGGTTCAAGAGGCTGGCGTTCACGGGCGCGTTGAGCGTCAGCGCGTGCCGCGCGGGCCAGAGCCCGGGGGCGTCGTCCAGCACCGCCTCGTCTATCCCCCCGTCTGGGCAGGGCGGCCCGACTTCGCGTCGTTCACGATGATGCCCCACGCGTTGAAGTTCGCCCCTGGGATCGGCGGCACCAGCGAGCCCACGCGCAGCCTGTAGGTCTTCGACGGCCTGAGGTACGCGGGGGAGACCAGCGCCACGAAGATCGCCATGCTGGGCAGGTTCATCCAGATGGGCCACCCTGCGACTGCCACCGCGGCCGAGCGAGGAAGAGGCAGGCGCAGCTGCCGCGAACCCAAGCGGCGCCACCCATCGAGGGCTCGCGCCGACCGCGGGAGCGGTCGCTTCCCGACTAGGATGTGCGTCAGGAAGTGGCGCAGCGCCGCGACCGTCATCCTCCCCGTCGCTGTGTCGAAACCGCACAGGGCCAAGTCCGTCAGGAAGCACGCGAGGACGCTGTCCAGCTGGCTGGCGGCGGTGAGGTTCAGCTCGTGCCAGCCCAACCAGTCCAGGAAGCGCAGGGCGTGGCAGCGGTACCGAGCCCGAGTAGGGTCCGACCCCGCTGAGTTCTCGAGGAAGCTGAGGGTCCCCCCGAACAACTCCTCGGCCCGAGGGTGAACCGCCGCCTGAGCCGCTACGATCGGAACAGCAGCCTGCTTCAGGGAGAGAGCGATCAGCCAGGGAGAGGCGCGCCTCCTCGAAGCTTCTGCCGTGGAAGAAACCATGACGAGATGGCCCGTCCGCAACGTTCAGCTCGGAAGGTATCCACCGCACATAGCACCGAAGGTTGGTGGCCAGCGCGAGCGCGGCGATCCTCCGTAAGGGTCGCCGAAGGGTAGGCTTGCGGCCTCGACCCTGGCCAGCCGCCAGAGCCAAAGGTAAATTATCTACGAGAAACAGAAGGCGATGGTGATGAAGCGAAACGTTGCGGGTGGCGTGCCGAACTGCGTCGCACAGCGCGTCACCCTCGTGCTCTAAAATGTTATTGGACGGGTTCCAGTGCCTCCTGGAGATCACGGTGACCCACGACGAGACCTGCATGAGCTCCTCGGGGATCTCGTTGAAGCCCTTGCAGAAGCCCTCAGGGTTCGAGTCCAAGAACCCCTCGATGAGATCGAAGTCGTCGGGGGCCCCTCCGAGACCCAGCGCATTCGAACGTGCCGAAACCGCCGAAGTACAACGAGATCTCCACCTCTCCGCCTGCCTCCCAAATTCGGCCACCCGAGGCCCGACCTCCTTGCGAGTGCACACGCCCACACCGATAGGAGTAGCGTCCGAAGCCGAGACGTGGGGGCCCCAGGGGATATTCATGTGCGACGCCCATAGAGGTAACGTACTAGCCACACACCAAAGCTCGAACTTGACGGAGGCCCACAGGGGCCCGACTCCAGGGCCCTTCTGGGACTTAAAGGCGTGGACAGATGACAGGATGCAGAGGGTCTCTCTTTTACACATCATCGTCCACGTGATGTGGCCCAGAAGGACTTCGAGCATGCGAGGCGAGGCGGCGCCTCGCCGCAAGACCGCCAGCAACGCCTGCCGAAGGCGCATCACGCTAGCAGGCTTCACCCTCACGGTCCCGAGGTCGCCATTGATCCCGAGCCCCGTGAAGACGGATACGGCCGAGGCGGTGTCGAGCGAGTGCGCGGGTAGCCCCCAAGCCTCCAGCGTGCGAGTCACCTCATCCCTCTTGGTGGTGACGGCGATGGGGTCGCCCCCCGCGATGGCGAAGTTGTCGACGTAGCCCGCAGCTGCCACGCTGTCCTTGGCAGAGAGGACGGGGCTCGGGCGGCCATCCTCGATGAGATCACTGTCGCCGAACCCGCAATGGACGAGGGCCCTCCTCATGATGCTCTGGCAGAACAGCAGCGACCAGCTCCAGCCCATAGGCAGGACGCGCACCATCGGCTGGAGGAAGCAGTCCGAAGGGATGGGGAGGCCGTCGAGCTGCTTGACATTGAGCAAGCGATTGGAGATGGTGGGCAACGTAAACAGCTCCTCCATGCCCTTTGACACGAGCATGTGGTAGAAGGCGCACTGGATGTCGCCCTAGGCCAGCACCACGGGGTGGTCCGACTCCAGGGCGGCCCGCGCCGCCGCCGTGGGGAGCGTGGTCTTGGGCGGCGCCGCGAAGCCCTCGTTCGCCACCCTCGTGTCGAAGACGAGGCGAAGCGTGCCCTTGCCAACCTTCTCGACAAAGAAAAAACCTAAACTATAAGGATCACCGGCCCGCGCCACACGGAAGGAGATCATACCACCCTGCAGCGACTTCCCCACGAAGGGGCGTAGGCCCTGGGGTTGTTGCCCAAAAATCGGGTCGACGTAAGGACGCTGCGGCACCGAAGCCGCACTCAGATCTGAAGCAGACGGCTCACCCTTGAGCACGGCCCGTCTCCACCCCGACAAAGATTCGCGCTCGGCCCCCCCGGCGAGATCAGCGACATCCACTGGAGCCGTCGAAAGATCAGGCCAGGACACCATGTCCTTGCCGTAGTGCTTGACGCGCTGGGAGTCAGAGGAGTACCCAGGCGCCGACGCGAGCAGCTCTGTCAAGGCTGCTTCGCCCGAATGAGCACCCCCATGATATTCAGGAGGAAGCGGGAAATCTTGATAGACCCGAGAGATGTGATCCATCGCACTCGCCTGCGCCGCCGAGGCCGTTAACCCAGGCGGGGCACACGCAGGAGAGAAATGGCCGCTCAGCTGGCTCAGGGCTGCGATGCCGTCGTTTGCCCATCTCCGCCAAGCAGCCCCGCGCTGGGCGCGCTGGCGCCCCCGACGGCTGCGGCAAGCTTCCACGCGAGCGTCCACCGCCAGAGCTGGGAGGGGGAACACATCACGCTGACGAGCTCCAGGGTCCATCGCGACAAACCTGGTGGAGGCACAGCCCCCACGAAAAAAGCAGGACTCGCCCAGGCGGCGCCGAAGCGCCTGCACCCGCCTGGGAGAAGCTCTCGAAAAGCCACACGCGCGCCGCCCGCTCCTCGCGGGCTTTGCGCCTCTCCTCGGCGATGGCGGCGTCCGCCCTCGCATGGTCAACGATGAAGTCCGCGAGGGCCGTCGCGATGCACAGGTGGCCCTGGCTCGCCGACACCCCCACGTAGCGGTCCACCTCCACCACCAGCAAGCTCTCGCTGGCAACTTTGGCACTATTGTCCTTCCCCGCCTGCTTGTCCTCCGCGGCCACTTGCGCGGTGACGGTGCCCTCGCAGCGTCGCCCCTCGATGGGCGGGCTCTGGCGGCAGATCAGCTCGTGCGACACAAACTCCGCGTAGTCAACCTGGTCGTAGCAACTGCCTAGCTCGGGCAGCCTGCCGTTCATCTCGCAATGCTGGCCGATCGAGTCCGTGTCACGCAGCCTTGCCTCCGCCTTCCACTTGGAGTGCCACGCCAGCGGGCCGCCCGCGCCGTGCCTCGATTGGTCGAGGCACCACTGCGTCGTCCGACAACCCATGGTCGGCCCGTCCGCCTGGGGCGTGGAGGAGGCCAGCAGGGCCGCCGCGGCGAAGACCAGCGCCCACCGCCCAGCCGAGTCGCGCACCATCGGGTGCATGAGGCAGTCCAGCAACGTAATCCGCTCATGATGCACTGCGGGTCCTCCCACACGATATCGAAAGGCGTGCGGCGTGCACATCACCTGGCCGTGACATTCTGAATGGCGGCCCTCGTCTGCGGTGAAGCCAACAGGCGAAGCTGCACAACCGAACGGCGCCGAGCCCTCTGTGCCCGCCCTGACCGCCTCCGAGGGGACTGGGGCTCTCACACCCGCAGCCTGCGACCTCCAGCTCCAGAGCGCGGGCACCACGAAAACGCCCACCAGCGGCCCGAGGCAGAAGAACACGGCGTGGCTGCACCAGCCCGTCAAGACCTGCAGCGCGGGGGGCCCGTCGAGGCGCGGGCAGGAGACGCTGTGCGCCTGGGAGCACCAGCGCGAACAGGCGGGGCACGCAGGAGACGATCAGGCCGTGGCCGACCACACCAACAGGGCCTGCGAGGCGCCGCGCGAGAGATCCGAAAGGAAACGCGCGGCGGCGGCTAGCCTGCCCCTCGAAAGCTTGAGCACAAACATTTACAGATGTGCGGCCACTGAAACCCTGTCCCAGCACACTGATGGTGATGATGATGATGATGACGATGATGATGATGGAGATGATGATGATGATGATGATTCTCTTGTGGCGATAACTCTCGTTATCAGATCATGCGGCTGACTGGCATGGCACCGAGCTGCGACGGACTGGAGCGTGCGTGCGTCTGCGAACTCCCCACTCAGCCGACCCAGCTACGGACAAACGCGATGATGTCCCTCCTGGGAGATGCCAAGGAGCAGAGGGTCAACCATGAAAAACTCCACGGCATCATACGTGCTCTCGCAACTCAACTCCGTAAGCCATCACGTCCGTAAGCACCTCATCCCCCGCTGGAATGCCCACGGAAGTGCCGCCAGAAAAAGGCTCGCCCCCGCCGGCGCTGGTGAACTCCAGACTTCAGGTGGTGCGGAGGCTAAGGCGGCCGTAGCTCCCATTGTCCCCATTGATCCTATGGCAAGATTGCGTACGGCTTCGATCGCCAAGTACTTCAGGTAGCTGTAAGTCATGAAACCCCGTGGTACGAGCTGGTAACCGACAACGACTCCGCAAGTGAGGGTGAGGATAGTGAGGAACAAGAACACGGAAGTAGGCAAAATGACCACGCCCTGAAAAGTCCGTTCATCTTTACGGAGCGCAGCTGTTCGGACAGAAACCTCTGGGCAAGGGTCAGCAAACATGGAACCGACGTCAGAATCACTGTCGGTAGCTTCGTGGTGAACGCCGATATCTCCTCAGGCCATCTTCTGCACTAGCTGGAACAGAAGGCGTGCCCGTTCTTCTTTGGCTCGCGGTACCTTGGTCGTGGGGTCGCCCATGCGCTTGATGCCATCGCCCAGGCGCTGCACCACGGCCCTCTGCGACCACTTGCTCCCGATCTCTTTGATGAGCTCCTCCAGCGTGCCCTCGGTGAGCTTCGCCCTGTGGTCCAGCTCCGCGCAGATGAGGTGGCGCTGGAGCGGGGTGAGCACCTCGGGGGCGGTGCCCACGGGGGGGGGCGCACCCGCGGGGGCGGCCCCCGAGCTCCCACTGGCAGGCGCCGTCAGCGGAGGCGGCGGCGGGAACTCCGCCACGGGGGCCGTGCTCGTGACAGCACTCGCCATGGCGGCCTGCAGGCCTGGTGCCAGAGCCTCCGCCAGGATGCGCCCCTGCCTCGCGACTCCTCGTCCCTCTTCTCGGCCTCCTTGGTCCTCACGTACTCACGGTACGACGGGTCCTTCTTCCACATGATGCGCTCCGCCAGCTTCAACTGCTTGTCCGAGTCGTAGGACGATCATGATGTAGAAGACGACGACCTCGGCCTCTTCTTGTCCTTCTTGCTCTTCTTGTGCTTGCGACGGCTCCTATTGCGTCCGCCATCTCTTGAGTCTTGGTTTTGATCAGGTTTGACCCACGGCCACCGATACAGATCTCCTCCAGGTCCGTTCCGTTGAGCGAAGCCCTGGCCACGGCCACCACCTCCTTTGCTGCCGCCTCCCATCGCCCCAAGGGAAGGCAGGAACAGCTTGCCCCAGGAGCGCAGTGCCCGTCTCGCGAGCCGCACGGCTGGGGACGGAGGCAAGGAATGAGATAATGCACGCACAACCTCGAAGGGATACGACAACTTGATAAGCTCGATAAACAACTCCATGATGCAAACATACAAGGCTCCCGTCGGTAACTCCAGAGTCACCCCTCTCGCAATTTTGCCCAGGAAGACTCCCCGAAGGCGTGTAAAAGGTACGGGTAGATGGTCCAAGTAGGGCAAGAACGCTGATGAATGAGATGATGACGAGCCTGCCAACCATTGCCGATTCAGATTTTTCAGCGTCCACTGAATGCACTGGTGGCCCAGGTGGATCTCAAGGTCAAGCCAGGTCACGCTTCTGGAGCTGGCGCTGCTTAAGAAAACGATGCTGATGGGCTCCCTGAAAGTCGCTCGCAGACAACGAACCATGCACGTCGGACACACGATACGAAAACGACAAGATATCATCCACGTACCTCACCCAGGCGAAAACAGATAGAACATCAGGTCCAGGAAAACACCATCCCTCGGAGTCGAGTTTGCGGGGGTCCTCCAGAACACTGGCCTCTTCATCGCCCAACTGAACTGCTACCGCTGCTGAACTCATAACTCCTCCTATACATCAACCCAGCATCTCGACAACGACCTCCCCCACGCATGCTAAACTAATCATGGTCGAGGCTTTCAGGGCGTAGCCAAGCTGAGATAAGGACAGGACCCACCAGGCGCGATTCCACCGGGAGGGACCGATGCGGGTAACGCATTTGCGCCCCCGTTGCACCATCACCGAATCAGCTTTCCACCGTTCCTGAAATCTCCTGGCCGTTCTCCCCCACGCACTCATGACCGACTCACCCTTACATGCCTCGAAAGCCTGATCTACGTCTACAGCTGCACACGATAGGCCATCCAAGTTGGCCCCGCAGCACTCACAAGGCCACCCGCAGCTCCCCTCGGTAGTGATGGCACATTTGGGGGGAGTGAGGTGGCCCAGGGTCTCCCTCAGCGCGGGGACGACGTCGTCCATGCTGAAGACTTCTCTGGAGCGGCCTGTGCCAGCCACGACTGCACGCACGGCGCGCCCCATGGTCCTCCAGCCCTTCGCGAACGGGGTGCCCGCCATGTCCACGACCCGACGGACGCAGGAGTGGCCCGCCTTGGTGCAGAGGTGGCCGCCCTGTGGGTGCCAGCACTTGCTCTTGACGAAGGCGAAGACCTGCGGGATGCGGGGGGCCACTTGCCGAACTCGCCGTCGGAGAAAGTCTGGGAGACCAAGGATGGCGCGTGCCTCCGCCCATACGAGACACGCGGATGGGCACATCTCTGGTCGAAAGCGCCACGCCTCTGTATCCTTAGCCATGCCGAGCAGGAGGTGCGCGGCGTACTCTTCAGTCTTGGTGCTCCATGCTCGGGTGTGAAGTCGATCATCATGAAGGAAAGTAGTCGATGAACTCAAAGATATAGCCATGCGTGTCTCTTCCTTGAGCCAAGCCTTGGGTGCTGCAGGACAGACTTGGCGGGATAGTAGGTTATCCAATGCTGCTCGACATCGTCGTTGGACTCTGGGATGAAGACGCTGTTGCGAGCACCAATGATACATAGCTTTCAGGGCTGTTCTCTTGATCCGTCGTGCTGTCGGCCACCGCTTCAACCTCCATGGAGCATCATAAGCAACCAAAGAAGGAAGTTGGGCCCATCGTCCTAGATCCGACACGTCCGACTCAGATACCCAAGCCTTTGGTAAACCTCGAAGAACTCGTTTTCCATTCAAGCGCTGAACCCATGTCTGGTCCTTCTGATCGCATATCTTAATGTGTTTCTGGAGCCGCGACCTTGCTGGTTCCACTCGCATTTCCTGTAGGGATATCCATGCAAACTTCTTGACCACATTCTTAGGTTTCCGCAGAAA